CCGCAGGTGCAGCTGAATCAAGCCATCTCTCATCAAAAACAGGCACTGGCACTCTTCTCTTCAGCTCTGGGAGCCTTTGCTGCCCGGTGACAGCTTCTCCAGCGGTTGGTACTGCAGTGGCCAATACCCTGTTGGAAGTATTGCCCCCTGCCCATTTCGCAAAGCCAGTGTTGTTTCCCAGCAGAATCAGCATCCAATCAAGGGCTCCTTTCCCACTGCACAAGGTCTTACCTGGTCTATGTTCTGTCCCTTCTTCTTCATGGCTCTCAGGACGTTCTCAGGCGAGTAGCCCATGTTGACGACCGTCTCTACGCACTGCCTCTCGCTGGCAGAGAGGGCCTGCGCCGTTTCAGGAGCAGAGCCACCCGACTGCTTTGTGCAGCTGCTGTTGTTGGGCACTTTAGACACTGGAAAATTTTGGTGCGTTACCTATAGGGGAAAACCCAGAGGTTGAGGTGACAGTCATCATCTGCATCACCACACCCTGTTTCTGGCTAGTGCAGGAGCAGGATATCCCATGTAATTAATCCAAGATGCCCTTGGGAAGTTACTCACTGTCAGGATGAAACCAAACAGCGCATAGTCTGACTCCCACCATGCTCGTTTTACCCTCCAAATGACCATCAACATCCCAGATTCTTTGCAACACACCCTCTCCTACCAGTGGGACCAAAACCTTTCAATGCCCGACCTCGGCAACAGTGGAGGCCCTTACGACACCGCCAAATCCTGTACCTCAGAGGAAGCACGGAGAGTGCTTCCTCGGCCCCACGTGTACTCATCACCTGTGCTTTTTGGTGCTACTTCTGGAGCTTTCCAGAAACACGATCCAGCGCGAGCACGCACGTATTTGGGAACTTACCACAGGGATGTCTGTCTCCTTGTAGCCTGGGTGTACCTGTTGGACAACACACGAATTAGACTGCTATAACCTGAGGCACGCATGAGCAGAATTTGCTACAGCTGGGGGAGAAAGGCTTTAAGGAGGAGATCTGTGAGTAAGTCTACCCTACCAGGGAGACGTGGTCTCCTTAGGCTTCCACGCGTGAGACGCAGACATTACAGGATAACCACCACAAGGATTGTTCCTTCTCCCAGCACTCTACCAACGCCCTATACCCCAAGCAGCAGCCATGCAGTACCTGCCTGCACGCTGTGCCAACTTTTGGGGACGCTGTGCAGAGGCCAGGAGCCAGCACGCTTCACACCGCTGCAGCCGTATGTATTCTGAATGGCCCACCAGAAAGCTCCCTCCCCCCGTAACCAGAGACTGGTGTAAATAAAATGCATCATACTAGCCAGGTTTCTGACCTGCTTTGTTTAATTCCAACCCGTTGTACTCACTAGGCATTTCTCCCTCTGCCAACGCTGCAAAAAACAAACCTGTGAGCTCAAAAAAAAAACCAAAAAGGAGAGGGGAACACCCAGGACAGAACCAGTGCAGCCTCAGAAATCACAGGTTTATTTCCATCCAAAAAGATACTATTCACTGGTAGAGCTTAACTCCAGGGGTAACCACATCCAAAGTTACAATTTCTAGTCTTCTGAGAAAAAAAATTATATACGGAATCGCTGTGGAACACACCAGGACATGTAATTGTCCTGAGGCTTTCTAAAGAGGACGGGCTTATTCTTGTGCAACCTTGCAGAAAAGGAACGCACGACCCTTCTGCTCCCAGCCACAGAGGACGATGACTGCCTGCTATCCCCTTCATACCCTCAGGAGTCCTGTTGCTTTTACTTTCCAACGCTTCTGTTGCCTTCACTTCAATTTCTTGTAGTTTAAATGTCACTTTCCAGCCGCTGGGACCACATTGTGGACACATGAAACAAGCACAGTCTGCAGTCCTGGAATTTAGGCAGAAAGAACTACTTCTGCTGGCACACATGCCGCTCAGTCTGCTGCTTCCAAAGCGGAAACAGTTCTAAATGAAGATCTTCATTGCTTCTCCTCGTGAGTCTGTCTCTTGATTGTTTACCAGCTTGCATCTTCCCTCACAGCATCCTCGGGAACACACCTTCCCTCTCGGTATTCAACTAATCCACTACAGATGCGGGTAGTTAGAGTGAAAACCTGGCCATCTGAACGCCCACCTATCTAGCTGTAAGCGATCGCCGAGGTTTCTCCTCTGAGCTCCATGCGATCACACAATTCCCCCCAAAGCTCTGATCCCTGGCAGCGAGCAGCTGCTCAGCACGCTGCTGCTTCTGCCAAGGGTTACGGCATTACACTCGTCCCAGCGATCAAGGAACAGCTGTTCTGCTGCGCTCCGACAAATGCACGAGTGACCAGAGTACCGCGATTAACGGTGCATTCACCTAACCCTGAAGAGAGGCGAAAGAACAGCGGGAGAGCAGCAGTGACACTTGTCTTGGAGCACGCGGCATCACACAAAACCCACAGCCTGCCCTAAGACCCCAGAACCCCCGAAGCACTGCTTGCGTTGGACAGAAGAAACCAGTGGATTTCAGAGCCTGCAAGGGGGTTTGACTACACAGCTTTCACTAGGCTCCACAAGTATGGGTGTCCAAATCCTAGGTTCCTTGGGAAAACACACCTCTGCTCTTATTTGCACCGAGACAAAGACCCATGTGAAGTTAAGTGTCCCCAGAGTCATTTTAGAACTTGCTGCCCGTTTCAGGACAGGGAACACCAGCCTCCCGTCTGAGCCACCCGGCAACCACCTGTAACGTCAGCGACCCCAGACCGTCTTCAGGGGTGGTGCTGGTGTACGCCAAGCAATCCCCCCACCCTCCTTCACAGGGAGCGGGGTAAATCCCGGGTTTCAGACCACAGTAATTTTCTTCCTTTTAAAGAACAAATTTTAAAAGGATCTCTGGAGCAAAGGCAAAAAAGATTAGAAAGGAGACATTCGTCTCAGCGCAGGTCAACTGGAAGCACTTCTTTCCTTCCTGAACGCCACGGCACATCTGTGCTTTTTAACCTATTATTGCTCTATTCCTTGAAAAGCCTGCGTTTCCCATTATTTCCAGCACATACACAGGCAAGCCAAGGCACAAATCTAGGAGAGATTTAACTCACCCTAACAGCATTTCAGCATCTGGTATACCTTGGCTGGACAAGACAGAATGACAGAACAATACAAAGACGATAACCTCGTACCCTCAGCTCCAAGGTGCCCCACACATCACTCCCATTAAACCCAACTAAAACCAAAGCTCCAGGACACGCTGGACGCCACCCGCCTCCGCAGCTCCGCATCCCCCCAGCGACCCCTGCTCTAACCCACCGCACACTTACCCTGGTCGCTGTGTTTTGAGACGATCCTTCTTCCGTACAAACTGCCGACACGGCCAGGGAAGGCGGCCGGACCGACGAGGACAACGTCGACGTCTCCATGCCGCCATCCTCCTTCAGAGCGGAAAGCGTGACCACGTGGTGCCCGTTCAGTTCACTAGCTTTACTCTGAGCACAGGTCTGCAAAGAGCTGAGCAAAGTGCCGTTGCGGAGACAGGCAGCGCTGTGGAAAGTGCTCGCGAGCTTCGGCGATTTCTGATCGCTCTCATCAGAGTCAAGTTTAGGGAAGGAGAGGGATTTGATATTGCTCACTGAAGTGATAGGGGAGAGGGACACTTTGGAAGACAAGGACATGTTTTCACAGTTTCCCAACTGCGGTAAAGTGATAAAGCCATTGGGTTTGTGAACGGGCTTGAAGTCCAACGTGGCCCTTTCTATGGATGCCAGAACTTCCTCATCTTGCAACACAGACTCAGACCCTCCTTTGGGCAAAGTGTTATCTAACAGCTGGGCAACAATCGGCCCAGTAGTACCAACGTGAATTTCCAGGATATTTTTTAATTCCTCCTTATCATCGATAGTTTTTAATTCCAGTTTGTCAAATGGGTCTTCTTCACATTCAAAGTCAGCTGGGTTGAAGTCTGCCTTCGGACGAGGGGGGCTGAGAACCTTCTGCTTCACAGAGCTGCTGTTGGCTGGCGTGGGAGTGAGGATGCTGTTGTGCTGCAGACTAGCGAGGATGGGGTTAATAGGAGGAGGCATGGCCTCAGGGCAAGGTGCTTCTGAGAACCCCACTTTCTGGCTGTCCTCCGGAGCTGCCTTTGAGTTTGCCAGCGCTTCTTCTGCCTTGCGTTCGGCTTCCCTCTGGGCGGTCTGAATCCGTTTGAGATCTTCAGCCCACTCAATTGTGTTCTTTTCCAGTGAGAAGTCATACTGACCGGGGTGGGAGGGCAAAGGAGGAAAAAAAACCAAACCAAAGATAAATTATAAGGATCATAGCTGCTACCTCTAACAGTAGCTTAAGTAACAGAATAAGAGCTACATGAATTACCACGGACAGGCACGATTTCTTCCCAGCATCTCTTGTAACCTACAGGCTGGCAAAGCTAGAAGACATCAGAAGCACTTCCTTTTGCCTCCAGCAGCAAAACTGGCTGTAGTCTGGATTAGAATACCATATTTTGTCTCTTTCCTGCATGCAGTTTTGCTTTAGAACTACTGACCATCCCAAGGTCAGTTTCACAGCCCTCCCACCCTCTCCCCCCCAAAGAAGAGATGCAGCAAGGGGAAATGTAAGGTGCCACTGAAGGGACAATCTTACCTACACCTGGGAACATCAGCTGTGTTCTACAAGTCATTCAACACTATGGCCGTGCATTTTTGCATCCAAAGACCAGTATATTGTTACTCAGTTCTCCCCAAAAGATTCCTAACTTGATACTGAAGTTCCACACCCACTGGTGTAAGAGCTACTGGTGTTCTTACCTCCGTGCCAGTGGATCGCCAGCCAAAGGGGATATACTGGCTACCCCAATGACAACTACCAGCAGGAGCAGATTTGGCTGCAGTTACTGGCAGAAAAGGATCCCACAAGCATTTCTCATTTAGCCAGAGCAGGTTAGCACGGGAAGGCATTGGTAAGCCACTCACTACCAGTTGATTGGCCAAGCGTAGTGACTTGGTCAAGAAGGCAAAATTCTGAACAGACTAAATCTACTTAAAGCTTTAATATCTTATGAAGAATGAACAGCCTCAAATGCTCTTTAAATAACCACAGAATGTTCAGAGAACATGACCTCCTAGCAAAGTCCAGGGTGTAACCTACCTCTGACTCACACGAAGTCAAAAGATATCCTTGCCAGGATAATGACACATAATCACGGAGGAGTGCCCTTGCCCAGAGACTGCTAGGTCATACCCATGCCTAGCTCTGGAGAGCAACAGGCCAGCCAGGCTTGTGACACCTCTACCAGGCTTTCCTGGGATACACTATGTGTTGTGCCACATATCATCCTACAGCGGGCTCCAGTGAGATCCCAGAGACCTGCTGTCTCATCTGTATTAAATTTTCCCTCCCCCTGAGCTCAAGAGGCATGACACACAATTCATCGGGAAGGTGACTCTGGAAAACAACTCGCTGGCAGATGCGCTGGGCACTACTCACTGCACACACCTGGCCATCCGAAATGCAGTTTCGTGTGCACGTTTATATGGTCATACACAGCCAAAACTGACCAAAAGCATGTATTTTCTTATATGAAAAAACGTGGTGTATTTATATAAAAGTATATGGCTTGGGTCAATTTTGCTTCCATGCACTTTTTTTTTTAACAGCTCTCACTACAGCTGTAAAAAAATCGTCGAATTGCATTGCAGGATGCTGTATTGGGGATGCGTGGCACGGTGCTGGTAGCGGGGGGGTACAGAGGTGGCTTCTGTG